GTTGTCTAGGCTGGACTCAAACTCCTGGGCTCAAGCAATCCACCCGCCTTGGCCTCCCAGAGTGCTTGGATTACAGGTGTGAGCCACTGCACCTGACCTAAACTTCAATTAAAACTTTTCTTTTTGAGACAAAGTCTCTCTCTGTCACCCAGGCTGGAGTGCAGTGGCGTGATCTCGGCTCACTGCAACCTCCACCTACTGAGTTTAAGTGATTCTCCTGCCTCAGACTCCCACGTAGCTGAGATTACAGGCATGTACCACCATGTCTAGTTAATTTTTTTGTATTTTTAGTAGAGACGGGATTTCACCATGTTGGTCAGGCTGGTCTCAAACTTCTGACCTCCCAAAGTGCTGGGATTACAGGCGCGAGCCACCATGCCTGGCCAAAACATCTTCAATTTGGAAACACAAATAGCAAACTCTGTCTAGCATACAATGTAATAATAAAATTTTAAGACTGTTCTGTAGCATAGAGAAAATATTGTGAGATTTTATTCTTCCATTTTCACTTTTGGAGGCACAAGTGAAGATGGGTTTATTTTTACTGAATGTGAAAATGATCATCATCAATATGGTTGCAACATTCTCTCTCTGCTCATTCTGTACTCATCATTTTTCAGTTCCAAATATCATTTGCATGGTCCTGATGACATTGAGTATGGATATTGCAGAGGAGTGATAGCTTCCCTTTCCTATTGAAGCTGAAGCTTCAAAGAGAAGATTAAAGAAGTGTTTGTTATCTATCTGCACAGGCCTGATATAAAATTCTCAGAGGCTTTTAGGATAAACACAACTCTGTATGTGTGCATTTATATGCTTTTTCTTCTGTATGCTTCTATTATGGTCTTTGTATTTTCGTTTAAAATTTCTAGTTTCAGTCTTGTTGGACTCTCTGGTTAAAGGAGAACTGTTTTCAGAAAAAGGGTAAGAATTGGAAGATGTTGGCAGGATTTTACTAAATGCCTCCTGAAGAGTATAGAATTCTCTATTGTGGAATTATAGTTTCAGAGAACATGATGAAGGCCACCCATTGGGTATCTTTAACAAGACAAGACCAAGATCTTAAAGGAGTCCAGCAGAGACTAATCTGTGGTACCTTCCAGTGAGGGATGCAATTGCTCACTTTTGGGCTTTCCTTTAGAAGTGTTTTTTGTGAGCTATGGAATAGAGCTGTGTCTTAAAAAAAAAAAAAAAAACCTTCCTGCAGGGTTAATCCATAAATAATATTTAGAGGGAGAAAAGGTAGGATAGCAAGATACCTTCTGAAAAAGATGGGAACTAACATTTTATTTCATGCTGTTGTTCCACATCAAGTTCTACATATGATTTTTATCGTCAGAATTTTCTCTCTTTTTTTTTTGGAGACAGGGTCTCGTTCTGTTACTGAAGTTGGGGTGCAGTGGTGCAATCACAGCTAACTACAGCTTCAACCTTTTGGGCTTGAGTAATCCTCCCACCTCAGCCTCCCAAGTAGCTAGGAATAGCATGTGCTACCACGTACAGCTAATTTTTGTACTTTTGTAGAGATGGGGTTTTGTCATGTTTCTCAAGCTTGTCTTGAACTCCTGGGCTCAAGCAATCCTTTTGTCTTGGCGTCCCAAAGTGCTGGGATTACAGGTATGAGCTACCACACTCAACCTCAGATCTTTTTAAATTGACAAATGCAGTGGAATATATTTAAAATGCACAATATGATTATATATCTACACATACATGTTGTGAAATGATTACCATAATCATATTAATTAATACATTCATGACCTTACATAGCTTACATGGTTGCCCTTTTTTTTTTTTTTTTTTTTTTTTTGGTGAGAATGCTTAAAATCTCCTCTCTTACCAAATTTCAAGTATGTAATACAGTATTATTAACTATAGTCACTATGCTGTAGATTAGATCCTCTGAATTTATTCATCTTATAATTGAAAGTTCGACAGAAATATTTAATTATAGTATTACCAAGAATAAAGCAGGTTCTGCTATTTAACATCAACTAGTTGGACCTACTACTTTATTTGATACTGTTGAGTTCTTAAGATATAACTACTATTGGCAGAAGCAATACTTTTAGTATATGTGACTTATAAGATCATATTTCTTCTTGACTAACAAGAGAATCCAGGAAGCCGGGGTACTTTAAAGTAGGTAGAGAAAAGGACTGAAAATGTGTGTTAGTTGGAGTGGGCATTATGGGAGAGGGAGGCACAAAAGAGGCTGAGATCAACATCAATAACATACTTTGCCTATTTAGCAATTTACCTAGAGCACTTTTTAACTGCCACTGTATGACTGGGGTTTTTTCTGGGCCAATAAATGAGAACAGCATTAGTTAGCACAGTTCTTGTGTTGCCATCATTAATATTTTGGAAAGAAGAGAGAGAGATAGCGGGAGTACATACACATGTGCACATACATATATGCACATACTGAAACCCTAATTTCTATTTATGTTAAATTAGAAGTTGGGTAATGATAGAAATTGGGGACTAGGGCAGTGCCTCAAGAGAAGATGAAAAAATAGCAAGAGCAGATGGAAAATTGCTCAGCCATTTGATGATTTGCTTGATTAGCTATATTTTACAGAAATGAGTTTTATGGAAAACTCTTCATGGCGGCCAGGTACAGTGGAAAGCTGCACTGTCTGCTAGGTGGAGATTGACCCATCATACTATTATTCACAACTTATTTCAGTTTCAGCTTACATATGCCCCTACATTGATATGGACACTCCTTCTTCCCAGCTTTTGAAGCTTTCCACTTTTCACCCCATCCTCTGCTCCTTCCTCTCCCCTTTGCTACTGCAGATGTCAGAGCTGTCCTGAAACTTCCTTGTGCTCTAATCCAAGTATCTTATATTTCTCTTCACCTGATTGCCAGCCAGAACTGTTCTGGAAAAGGAAAGGAACAAGGAAATTCAAATTGTCAAGTTTCTTCTCCACTTTCTTATCTTTGATAATGTTAAATTCACCTGTGGACTATGGCAACATCCTTACTCTCCACTGACCTCTTCTATCTTCATTTTCTGAAAATGTATCACACAGTAAAGAAATAACAAATATACTCACTAGGCTGATACTCCTCCCTGAGGAAGCCAAGCCTAATTTTAGTCATGTATGTACTAGAAGACACATCATTATCACCTATGTATTGTCCTTTTCTGCTTCTTTTTTAAGTTTATGGACTCTTTAAACTGCAAGCTTGTCTAATCCTGCCTTATTTTGTTGTTGTTGTTGTTGTTGTTTTTGTTCTGTTTTGTTTTGGATTAGGCTTTCAGCAGACTGAAGCCATGATTTTTAGTTTCTTTCTCTAGTGATAAGTGAAAAAGAGGGATGAGAAAGGGGCTTTGCTGGCCCACCAGAAACAGAAACTAAGAACCCATGACTTTTCTCTCCCTTGGGCACCCCTACAAAAGAATTCTGTAAAAACTGTGGACTCCCTGCCTAGGTAAAAATAAATAAATAAATAAATAAATAACCTCTCACGCACATATATACTCCTGAGAGGTCAAGAAAAGGATAGAAAAGTATCCCTTATATTTGCTGGTATGGAGGTTATTATGTCTATAGCAAGAGTTAATGTGCAGTGTCTCTGAGCCTGACTGAAGGATGTTGAGTGAGTGGGCAGTGAGGGAATAAAATGAGCCAAGTGTAGACAGTGCTTTTGAAAATGTCACTGTGATGTGAAGGGAAACAGGACAGCAGGTGAAGGGATGTGAAGGGCTGAGGGAGGGTTTGCTTTATTTTTATATGAGCATAAATGCTGATGGAAAGGGGTCAAACTGAGAGGAAGAGGAGAAAAACCGATAAAGAATAATATAAAGTTCCTGTGAAGGTAGGAGGAAATGGGATCCAAAATATAGTAGACCTTCTTGGATAACCATCATATATAACATTGTTTTTGTGGGGAAAGAAATGCAATTTAGTTTCCAAATAAGTAACTTACAAATGATCCTTTCCACCATTGCTATTTTGTTAGTTTAAGACTTCAAGGGTTGCTGGATGCAATGGCTCATGCCTGTAATCCCAATACTTTGGGATGGTGAGGTGGGAGGATTGCTTAAGCCCAAGAGTTTGAGACCAGCCTGGGCAACAAAATGAGACCCCCATCTCTACAGAAAACCAAAAAATTAGCTAGATGTGGTGGTATATGCTTGTGGTCCCAGCTACATGGGAGGCTGAGGCAGGAAGATCTCTTGAGCCCAGCATGTCAAGGCTGCAGTGAGTGATGTTCATGACAC